TGCCGTGCTTCGGCCGACAGCCCGTGGCATGGTCAGTATTCTTCGCCAGCACGTGATTCAAAGGCATCAGCTGTTCCTCGGTTTCCCTTATTTACTGTCCAGCTCTCATGGGCCCAGGGGGCCATTGGAGGTTCCATGGCTTGAACCAGGCGAGCCTCAGTCTTCCAGGTGAGATATTTGTTTTTGAGCACTTGAGATTTTTACAGATTGTCCCAACACAATACATTGTTTGATAGACAAAATCAAGGAGGTCAGAATCCGACAAGGATTAGGCGAGGACCCGGAGGGCTCAAATCTAGAAGGGGCCACATGGGAGGGTTGAGAAGGAAATGAATGTGTCTAACAGATGCTGGCCTGTAGAAGAGGTCTCTAAGCCCCAGAGGAAAACTTCAGCCTAAGATGATTCCTTGATTTTCAATCCCGCGAGACCTCAAGCAGAGAAGTCAGCTTCGCCGTGCCAGACCTCTAATCTCCAAACTCCGAAACCTACCTCACTGCCACCAAGTCGATTGTGACTCTTCACAACCCTACAGCCCAGGGCAGAACTGCCCTGTGCGTTTCTGAGACTGTAACTGTAACTGATGAGAGTAGAAAGCCTCATCTTTTGTGCTTGGAACAGCTGGTGGTTTCGATCTGCTGACCTTGCAGTTAGCAGCCCAACCTGTAGCCGCTACGCCACCAGGGCTCCTCTCTAGTTGCCAGTGACAGCAAGATAATAAATTTGTGTAGTTTCTTCCCCTTAAAAAAATTATAACAAGATCCAGGTTTATAAAAGACGTGGGTTCATGTTCTAGCTTTGCCATTTAGTCTATGACTGTATGCCAGGTGACCTAACTCCTGAGGAAGGAGGGAGGAACATGTGAATACTTACCTTCCAGGAGCCCTGATGGCTTGGTGGTTATGCGCTGGTGTGCGAACTGCATGGTTACCAGTTCAAAACCATCAACCACTCTGTGGGAGAAAGACAGGACTTTCTACTCCCATAGAGAGCTATAGTCTCAGAAGCCCTCGAGGGCAGCTCTACCCTGTCCTATAGGGTCACTCCGAGTTGGTGTCAACTCGATGGCAGTGAGTTCGAGTGTCACATGAAAATCAGACATTATGCAAATCCAAGCTTCCCCTTAAAACTCATTATATTTACACATTTTTTTTTTTTACATTTATCGCTCCACGCTCCCCCTCCCCAGCCCAACACTGGTGTACTCTGCGTGGGAAGACGCGGCTGATGGAGGACCCTGGAGCGTTTCATTCCGCCACGTCTGTGGAAGAGCGACGCTGAGGGGATCTCGATGATCCAGGAGCCTCAAAGACAGTCCCTGTACCCCGGAGCCGTACACATGCTCTGGATGCGTGTGTCAGTGCCCCCTGTTCCCTAACGTTTCCTTTTCTGCCTTTGGAAGAGTGTCTAGCTGAGACGCCAACACCCACATCCACATTGACACGCACACAGAGCTTACCTGTTTCCTCTCCATCCACCTCCTAACCTACACCACCCATAAGCCCTTTCACACCCCTAACCTCACCCGATTCTCCTAAGCCAGAAGCAAGACGGGGCTGAAATGACTCTCTAATGACACCACCAGCCAATGGGCTGTGGCCTGGAGTGGGGGCGAGCTTACTGAAAGGCTCACCTACATCCCCGCATCACCCAGCTACCCCGGTTTGGCAGAGGACAGGGTCAAAAGGCTGCACGTTTGTTGTGCATCTGGGACTCGAGGGTGGGAGTGAGGAATCAGCCTGGCCAACCACTTCCCAACACCCCGTTCATGTGCCCTCGTGGTGCCAAAGTCCCAGGGTCGGGCTGGAAGCCATGACACAGCTCGCCCAGTGCCGTGGGCATTCCTGGGCTTGTTTGCTTTCAGTTAAACAAACGGGTCACAGAACAAACCCAGGCTGGCTGATCATCAGAAGTCTCCCAAGGCCCCTCAAGAAAAAAATGTAGTGTTCATGTGATGTGAAGGCGGTCAATAATATTCATGTTAATCATTCACCCACCTCCCCCCACCCCCAAGCCAACCAGCCCTCTGGAATCCGGCCAGGTTGTGGAAGGACTATAAAACAAAATGTCGAGCTCCATCTGTTTCTTGCCAAAGACTTGCATTCCAGCTTCAACACATCCAAAAGTTGAAGGGAGGCTGAGTGCTGCACGGGTACATCTAGAGACCCTTTGGTGTCGTGGGGTATGGATTGGGCTGCTAACCACAAGGCTAGCTGTTCAAATCCACCAGGTGCATCGCAGGAGAAAGATGAGGCATTCTGCTCCTGTAAGGATTTCCCGCCTCAGAAACCCATGAAGGCAGTTCTACTCTGCCTCATAAAATTGCTATGATGCAGAATTGGCTCAATGGCAGTGAGTTTGACTCCCCCTGCATGCCCACCCACCTTTGAAACAGGCTATGAATGACTTAGAGACCCTGACTAAAAGAAAAATTAAGTAGACTTTCAACTCTTAACTGAGGGGTTGGCAGTTCCAACCTACCCAGTAGTGCCATAAAAAAACAGCCGGGCAATGTTTCTGGAATTACAGCCTATGTAACAGCTTGACCAAGTAACACGTGGGGTTGCCCTGGGCTGGAATCAGTTTGACAGCAATGGGTTTGTTCTGTCGTTCACAGTTGATTTCATGATGAGCTCTGGTGGTGTAGTGGTCACGCGTTGGGCTGTGATCTGCATGGTGGCCAGTTCAAAATCACCAGCAAGCTGCTGAGGAAAAAGATTGGACTTTCTATTCCCATAAAGTTAGTCTGAGAAACCCACAGGGGGTTGCTATGGATCAGCATTGACTCGATGGCAGTGAACATATACACATATACATTCCAGAAAGTAGAGGACAGATGGGGAATGTTCACAGGGCGGGTCTGGAACTGGGTTAGCAATCTCTGCATCTTGCTTTTGGAAGGACACTGTGACGATGAGGTCCTTTGCATTTCTGGGGAAGAGGCAAGCACTTTGGCAGGTGGAGGAAGTACGAGGATTCAGCTGTAATTCTGGTTCCGATATTAGCAAGTGGGCTACACAGCATTCTATTATTGCTCTAGTGGATCACCCTCGTCTCCTGCCCTCCTCCTGCAGCTGACCTCTAGGCAGAGGCTGGGCTCAGCTAACGTATGCCCACCAGCCTCGGCAGACAATCAGATACAAAGCCCAGGCTCTGAGTGGATTACTTTGCAATAGTAGACAGTTCTTTTAGCTCTACCTCCGCTGATGTAGATAACAAAGGATGTATTCTCTTGGGGCTATCGATTTGGGGGTGAAGAAAGGCTCAAAATCACTGAGGGAGGAGCATAGCAGTGCTGTCAGTTTTGCATGCCTTTTCTGCCTGTCAATCATTAACTGTGTGACCCTTGGGAAGACACTTACCCAGAAACCTCTGCTTTCTCTCTCTATGAAAAGGATGTACTATCTGCTCCACTTGCCCCACAGGATGCTTCTTGAAGGTTCTTTAAAAAGCAAATGCCAAAATAGACGAATGAAAGATACTGTCAGTGCTTTTAATAAATTATTTTGAAGAAACAAGTATATCTTTTCCTTAGAAGTATGGAATTGGACGCTATCTTTAGGGTTTACACACACACACACACACACACACACACACAGTTTCTTTTCTAACAAAGGAAAATAATTGAATTCCCAAAAAGCCTAATTATAATTTTCTTCCAAACCTACTAGGTTCAGAACTTAGATTAAAATAAGTTGGCCCATTTAGGACATTGATTAAAATCAGTGATGTATAAAATGGCTCATTCAATACTTCCTTGGGAATGCAAATTCAAGGTCTCACACAATGAGCATCCTTTAAACAGGAGCAAATGTTGGCACTTAAAGAGAGGATAAGAACTGAAGGAAATCATAACCTATCAGGAATGTTTTTAAAATCATCTGATTTCGATGAGCAGGAAAAGAAATTAGAATTACAAGCCCATTCTAAATCTTGGTATTCAGGTAACATATGAATAGTATATGAGGGGGCTTCAATCATTTTGTGAAAATATTCCATTATCTCTTCATTTTCCCATGAACATTCAATAGAACAGCATCAGTAAGTTTTTATGCAGCAACCAGGCTCAAGTTCCTAATCAACCTCTGGCACTCAAGTTTAGCCACAGTTCTGCCTTGAATACTAATGAAATGGAAATGGTCTTAAATTAACACTCTCGTATACAATCTTGCTTTAAAAGTCCCAACAAGGAAGCACAGACTTGTGGAAGGTTAGAAGTGACCTTAGAGGGTAGATGGTCCTGGGCGTAATTTTCAGAGAGATGAGTGGATGCCTGGCAGCATTTATTAAAGAGGTCCGAGATTGGTTTTCCTCTGCAACAATAATAAATAACTGTGTGCAGTCAGTACAGACTGTCATACCTACAAGGATAAGGCCTCCAAATGAAGGGACTGTAATTGCCCCATTTTGGTGACAAGAGTTATTTCTATTGGTGGTATTGCAGAGTCAGGTGATTTTTGTACATTCTGAACCAAGAGCTTAACAGTGTTCTGGTGGGTTCTGAAATGGGGCGAGAGAGTAAAAATAGAAAGAGCAACGCCAAAGGCAGAGGCAAGAGCGGTCCTCTTGCCTCAAAACTGAAGGGGACGAAGGCTCAGAGACACTCCTAGACACGAGCCTGCCCTCTTGTAATGGGAGCTTAAAGCGATTTTTCACAGATACTGTCTCAGAGACCCAAAACTGGTGCCACCATGGAGACGGAATTCCCCAGAATCCCTTGCACCTGATGGCATCTATTGGGAACAAAATAGGCTTGGATGGGAATTCCCAGATGCCTCACACCCTCAGAAACACGTAAAAGACTCCTGAACATATGGACTCAGGGAAGAAACAAAAATCCCCATTTCACTAGCCATGGCTCTCCCTCTTAGGAGCTTCTAGTAAATTCTCCAGGGTTGTCTCTGAACAGAGACATATTCTTTCTCCGGGTAAAAGACAAAACTGAATTCCAATGGAGTGCATCTAGAAACACGTGCAGCGCAACAAAGATCCACACACTTGATTCCTGCTCCACATTTATTGGGGCTAGAGAGGTTACAAACAGCTTGTTTCCTCCCAAAGAACCAGAAGGGGAAAAAATCAATACAACCACTATTTCTCAAATACACGCCCAAACTTTCCAAATCATAAGTCAATATGAGATGTCATAGTCCAGAGTTATCGATTGTGAGCACTTTATAAGATGTCACTCCTCTAAGGCATTGCTGAAACTGTCTTTCAACTTACACACTTCTACAGAAGCCCAAATCCAGGAAGGCATCCACTCGTCCACAGACAGAGCAGTCTTTCAGAAGCTTCGTGGAGGAAAGGCTAAAGGAATTACATGTTTAGACTCTGAACAGTCTTTAAGAGAAGAGCCAGGATCCACAGGAAACGGTGATTCGCATACAAATAAACATGTGGATTTTTCAAACAGGAGAGGTAAAATCCTCGCAAGGCAGGCTACAACAAAATTCGCACTGTGACATATTTGGTTTTCAATGGCCTCTTTCAAAATACAGATTTTTAAAGTCCAGAACAAACATTCATGGCATGCAGAAGTAGGATGCCTAAGATGCTAAAAGATGCCCCCAGAGAAGCATTCCTTCTCACCTCCCTACCTACTCAAAGGAAGATCTGGGGATAGGGATGAACAACTAGGCCTTATGCCATTACTGTCCATAGGGTTTCTGGATGGTGGGGTATTCCATCCCGCTTATGATGTGTTGAAGGGTTTTTCATTTCTATTTCAAATCGACTGTCTCACTCTCCAACCTTACAGAGCACAAGTCAGTTGCCATGAGTTACAATCTGCCCCTTGGCAGCTGGTTGGCTTTCTTGTTTTGTGCTTTAGATCACTCCACACACAAAACACACTTTGGCCACAACCTTGAGGCATTATTGTCCAGATGGCGATTTCTTCCTGGTGCACAAAGCAGAGCACTAAGGGAAGGACGAAGCCGACAGAGGAAGGAGGCGGTTAGATTCGTCCCCAGCGTTATCCAAAGTGAAAGGATCGACCGCTGTTACCAACGCTGTCAGCTCTCTCCTTGCAAACAGCCTCGATACCAGCTTGGGTCTTGCCCTTTGACACACCAGAGAGGTTCTGGTGCAACTTACCAACTGGTGGCTCTTGATCCTGACAGTCTCACAGGGACCGATGCATTGGACTATTTTTAAACAGTGGCACTTCTCCCTCCACCCCCAACCCCGCCTCTAGGCACTTTTCAACATTTTTAAAGGTTAAAATTGAGCTATTTAAAACCCATTTGGCAAATAACCCTCCCTCCTCCCCCAGAATGGAGCTGGTTCTGTTATAGCAAATCAATGAGATCCATTCCTTCTGTTTCGCTAAGGAAATTGGTCTGTTCCTCCACCCTGACTCCACGTTCAGAAGTTCTCCGGCTGAGACCAGGACGAGGCGAGGTGACGACATCAGCCCGTTTAAAGGCCCTCTGTGGGACTGAGCTTCCTGTTGGTAGGGGCTGTCCAGTCGGTTCCAATGCTGAACGATCTGAGTGCAATGCAACGAAACACTGCCCTGTCCTGCAGCATCTTCATCATTGTTCCTACGCCCACGCCCACTGCTACAGCCACCGTGTCATTCCGTCTTACACAGGCCCCTCCTCTTATTTGCTGCCCCTCTACTTTACCAAGTATGATGCCCTTCTTCAGGGACTGGTCTCTCCCGATAACATGTCCGAGGTATGTGAGACAAGACCTCGCCATCCTCTGAGGAGCGTTCTGGATGCACTTCATCCAAGATAGACGCCTGTTCTTTTGGCAGAACACGGCACCTTCAGTATTCTTTGCCAGCACCAAAAGTCAAATCCGTCTATCTTCTTTACTCCATGTTCAACTTTCAATGCACAGGAAGCGATAAAAAACACTGTGGTGTGGGTCAGGGGCACCTTTGTCCTCAAAGTAACATCCTTGCTTGTCCAACACTTTACAGAGGTCTTGTGTAGCAGAGTCGCCTGATGTGTCCTTTGGTCTCTGTGAGAACCATGCTTGGAGAGTCTAATAATGGAGAACATTGCCAACACTGGCTTTCTTGTGACACAAGTTCAATTCAGCTGAGTTTCTGTGAGCCCCTGAGCAGTGATCCATGCCCTTTCACCCATATGAGGCAGTAGGCTATGTGAACGAAAGAGTAACTTGGCTATACTCAAGAATATGTGCATTTACAACATTTGTGCTTAACATGAAAGACACTGATGGAAGTGGATTACTTTTCCCCCAATTTCTTTCCTGAAATAGTGCTCAAAAACAAAGACTCTGATTATGGAGGGATTTCTAACAAATGATTACAAGGGTTTCTGGTTGGTTACCATTCGAAGTTTGCCCAAGTGTTCTCCTCCATGTTCTAGACAAGCTGGAAATAAAATGGACATGACCAATAGATGTATGATACACTTAGCAAATATATACATGTGGATTAAAGGTCTTTAAATACGCACCCCACCCCAACCCCCACACTCAGTATACATTCCATTACATAAGCAGAACATCATTCTTTCATAGCAGGTGTGAGATAGCAGCAATTTAACACACTAGTTACCCAGGTACCTCAAGAAGCATCACAGCCCTTGACAGTTCCTGCCGCGGCCCTACTCTCCGCCAGCACGGAGTGGGACAGTGGCACAAAGCACCATCCTACACGGCTGAATCCTACTGCTGGGGAGAGTGCTTGGCTACCCTTTCATGAAACCCGTTTATTAAGAAGTGGACTCATGCTAAAGGCAAAACAAACCAGAGTGAGGCAATGTAGAAATCTGTGCTCTTTAGGACCTAGAAAGCTCTTAACGTTGTATCTGTTACTCACTTTTTCTAGCTGCTTCGTCAGTGCCTTGGATGGACTGAAATTACTCTGATTTCCCTGCCACTGGGCGAAAGTGCAATATGAAATGATGCCCAGCATACCACCACGGTGAATGGTTTGAAAATCTGTAATCACTAGATTATGTTTGTTCATTTGCTTTCACAAAACAATAAAGTTGGTGTGCTGGGACACCTGTTTTAAAAGTTATGCTTATGAGTTGCTAGATAGCCTTGGATAAGTTATTAACTCAGAATCAAAGTTCACATATATAATATGCAACAGATATCTAGGCTGACTTATAATACACCATCTCAGTCACAGGAGGAGAGAATGGCTTTTCCATAAACACAGACTGTGTGCTACTGGCTATACCCATGCGTTCCCAATGGATAGAAACCTGGGTACGCTGCAAATGATATGGCTCCTAGATGTGTATATGGACTTGAATATTTGTTCCTGGTGCATATTTTTGGATCCAATTGGAAATCTGTTGGGCAGAGCTGTTGGAGAGGTCTCCGTTATCTCTTGTGAAGCTTGTGAACCTCTCCTATCCTAAACCACACGTAACATAAGGCAACTGTCTAGCTCCTGGCTGTCAGAGAACAGCTTATCCTCTTAGGAAAGTTATCCTTGTAGGTAGGGATGCTGAATCAGACTTTATTGCTATTCTCCATGTAGCAACCCTTCTCCTGGGAAGGGACAACTTTCTTAGTACAGCCGTGTCTTCTTCGTGGAAGCTGAGATCACACAAGGAGAAATCTACTGTGTTTCTGCCGGGTCTCGGTGGGAATGCTGGGGAAAGCACACCAAACTAGCCCCCACAGGAAGAACCCCTCCTCAACTCCTGAGATAAGCAGCCTGCTTGATGGCTCCTATGAGAACCGTCCCTTCAGCAGTCTTATCCTTCTCCCACATGGAGCTCTCCCCCTGCACCCCGCCTCCAGGTTTCTATGGTGTTCAAATCAACACAGAGAAGACACCCACTTCTCCGTGACCACGTGCATTGCCAACGGTGACAACATATTTATTATTATACTGAGTGTCCATTTATGCTCCTTGGATTTGGCTGGAGGTCCGAGAGTCCAGTGGGATCCTTTGGATGATAAAAATAATGATGTCCTAGCTACCCACCCCCACCCCAAGTATTCCCAAAGTTTCCAGCCAAGCTCCCTGGACACAGCCTGGGTTGGAGAAATGGGTTCTCTTTCCACAGCAACACGCACTCCCTGGGCTTGGCCCTGTCTGATGCTGAAGGCTGGCAAGCAAGTTTCAAGTCTGGACACAAGAGGCACTTCCAAAGGTTGGCAAAGAGCAGGAGGCAAGTTCACTAGGTGGGTCTTCATCGCTGTGCGGTCTCCAGAACCCAGATATCCATGGCACGCGAGCAGGAGCCCAGGGCTTTAGGTTGTGGACGGGTCATGCTTTCTCTTCTTGCCCCGGCATGATTTGCAGACACAGCAGACGATGCACGGCGAGGCCAGGAGTAGCAAGGGGGAGGTCACCAAGGCAATGATGCCCAATCCCACAAGAATGCCCACCACCTGGAAATTCAGAAGGAAAACAGATTTCAACAGCGAAGCCTTCTCATCTCACGTGCACCCTCACACTCATTCTACCACAGTGTGGTGCTGTGCTACGCGGCCGCTGGACTCATGCCGGCCCTCTGGAGCAGAGCAGGGAAACCGCGAGGAGTCAGCGTGGACTCCATGGCCGTGAGTCTGCTTAGGTTTGGGTTTCGTCTTTAAAGCAGCAGACCCCTCAGGGTTTTCTCTCTTAGGGTCTCTGGATGATTTCAAACGGCCAACCTTTGGTTAGCAGCTGAGTGCTTGGCCAGTGTGCCATGTGTGCCACTTCACCAGGCTCTACCTGGGCATGGAAAAGGTGCTGTGCTGCAACCTGTCAGCCCGTTCTCAGAAGGGCCAGAAGAGGAAACCAAGTTCGCTTGCTGATTTCTTCTGGAAGGCCAAGCCCACGTACAATCATCACCTGCTGCGGTGGGTTCTCTCTGGACTCGGGACTTTTGCAGTGAACTCTGGGATGCTAATGACGATTCCTAGGGGATTCAGACCAGCCCTCTCAGAAGGAGGATGACTGCATAGCCTCTAATACATATGAAACACTGCTAAAAATAAACCACGACTCTCGGTGAACCTGCCACATCGGTGCACGGGCAGAGGACTCCAAGCCAGAAAGCGTTCAGAGGCTTCGAGAACACCACCTTTCATCGCCATACTCCTTGAAGGGCTTGTGAAGGCTGTCCATGGTTTCGGCACAGGAGGAGAGAAAGTCTGCCTCCACTCTGCCGGTCACTGCTTAGTGTTTAAGCTACGCTGGCGCCTCTGCACCCCGCTTGTACATCAGGGGACAGCTAATCTCAGGAAGATGCTCCATCATGTCTCTCCTGTCCTGTTCCCTAACTCCCCAGAACCTTAGAGACTGGGATGGAGGGGTAGGCTCTTCCCCTCCCTCCAAGATGAAAACATAAGCCTCTCACATACGATACTGAGTCCTGCTGAATGGACAGGTGTAAAATTACTGCAGATAACACACACAGTATTTAGCGGACACGGGAACAATCAACCATCAGTGGTCAAAACTAATCACAAAGTTGGCGTATTAGAGTTTCACATGTGAGGGCGAGTAAATGCTCTGCATTTAGAAAAAAAAGAAAAACTCAATCCTGGTGTCCGTTTTTTCCCCGACACAGGAGGCCTCTGGAAGTCTGGTTCGCCCCACCTCCCCTGGGGTCCAGGGTACCTGTGTTCGGTTCCACATGACTGATGCTCGGGAGTGGCCCAGTTTGTTCCTGCACGGTCCTTTGTCGTAATGTCTGAGGAAAATGTCATTCTGCCAAAAAAAAAAAAAGAGGTTTCAGGAGACGTGCAGTTGGGGAGTCAGAAGGGGAACCTGAGCCCCTGGGCTGACTGTGGACTTCTTCTGGGAAGCCCGAGCCTGTAGCGTTCCATATGTAACTCGGTCGTTCCACATGTAACTCGGTCGTCCTGGAAATCACCAAGTGAAAGCAGACATGGAAGCAGTAAATGAGATGCTAGGGTGACCCTAAAAAAGAGTGCCCAGAGACCTGGTCTAGCCCTTTCCTTAAGCTTTCTATTGTGAATCCGGTGGCGGTTTACCGAGCAGACGGCAGGTTTTACATGCAACACTATGTACCCATTTTGTTTCAATTCAGCCCTTAAGCAATCCCGTCAGGGCTCCCTCACTTAGTCCACTTGCTACATGAGTCTCCTGTTTCCTTGCCTTTCTGTCCTAACCCTCTGGACTTTACTTTTGGTAAAGGGTACCCTTTGGACCTGGACAGTTGGCTACTCTAACACGAGTGAGTTCAGCTCTAGCCGCAAAGGGTGAACTAAGGGCCATATATAATCTTGGGGGACGGGGGTGGGGGGCAACATGCTCTTTTAGGATTTTGAGTGTTTCCCCACACACACATTTTTCTCTTGCTCTGTCCAGGGCCTTCTAATGTGACTTTTTTTCAAGGCAGTTGGCAGTATTAGCCGGGCACCATGTAGTTCTGCTGGTCACAGACTGTGGAAACCGATGTTTGTGTGGCCCCTTAGATCACTGGACTGATTGTTGCCCTGTGCCTTTCCATTTTCAGCACTCTTCTGCCCTCTGCATGGAGAAAGGTCACTGGTTGCACCTCTGCATGGAGAGAGATCAGATGGCCGCTCAGGAGCTTTGAAGACCTCGGTCAGTACTCGCCTAAACGACTGTAGAACCGTTTCAGTCGGCAATGCTGGCTGTACTTGCAGTGCCCCCGAGACCACAGCCCTGAGCCGCCAGGCCTAGCCACTCTTCCTCAAGGAGTGTGGTTGCTGAAGATGTCTTCATAGCTGACTTGTCTGCAACTACACTCAGCAAAAGTAAATGCACACATGCAAATCTTTGCAGCAAAAGTAAAGGTACGCGTGCAAATGCCCCGATAAGTCTGGAAATATTCATGAGTAGACTCCCACACTCTCCGACTTATGCAACCTGTGTGCCTATCCATGCATCTACTCATAGAATACCACTATTACAGGATTATGTATATAACAGTAGTTGCCTCTGTTGCCTTCAACTCTTGCAAACCTTCCTGTGTCTTCTCCTGCCTCCATCCTTCTTATTGTGCATTGCCTTCTCCTTCATGCAAGTTAGCAGCTGACTACCCAGCTTTCTACCCTCGAGGCAGCGATTTCTTGGTTCTCCCTGGCTCCTGCCCTTGCTAACCTTCAGAGAACGTATATTCAGTGCGAGAAGCCTTTGCTTGACTTGCTAATGAGGGGCCCTTACAATATTTGCCCTTCTGTGACTGGTGACAGATTCATGTCACTTGGTATAATGATCTATGTCTTTTAGAGAGGTAGCTCTAGTGGAGATGCAGTCTGGAATTGGGAGGGTCAAGGGGGGGTAATGTGAGTACATCAGGGGAGGGAAAATAGCAGTGTTTTATCAATAAAGGAAAACACAGTCCTGGGATGGGTAGGAAGGTAACTAATGGGATGACAGAAACAGGGAAATGTCCCCAGAGAAACAGAATGGGTTGGGAAGATGACAACCATGGTTTGGACATGTGGGATTTGAGAGACACTTGAGGCAGCCAAGCAGGGATGTTCAAAAGGCAGCTGACAATATAAGGCTAGAGTTGGGGGTCGCGGGGTGTACATTAGAGTGAGGAAGACTTGGGAACCAGGGGTGGGAAGGACCCATAGAAGTAGAGTAGATTGCTCATGTCGAAAGAGTGTAGGGTGAGCAGCAACATCTAAGGGGGAGAGGAAGAGTCTGAGAAGGCAAGTGAGTAGTGGTCAGACCAGAAGACGGGAAACCAGAATAGAAGGTGTCACAGGTGTGAGGGTGAGTCGAGCGCTCAAGCTGCCATGTGTAGAAGACAGGTCATCTTAGATAAGGGCTCTAGCGTCCATTGGAGCCTACCAAGCAGAAACCACTGAAACCTTGGAAGGAGTACAGAAAAGGTCTGACTGTGGCAATCAATGAGTGTGTGTTGTTTGAGAAATACAGGCATGGGAGTAACACCAACAGCAAGAGGGGGCTGTGCTATTTTGAAGCTTAGCTCCCAAAGGAGAGTCATAGAAGGGTGCAGAGAGGGAAATGTTAAGGCTTCTGGGTGGACCAAATGGCTAGGCGTTGCTCGACTAACCAAAAGGTTGGCAGTTCAAACCCTCTGAGAGATGCCTCAGAGGACGGGCCTGCCAATTTGCTACTGACGGGTCACTGAAATCCCTATGGGGTAGTTTCCCTCTATAATACAAGGGTGGCAAGAGTTTGGAATCAGCTCCACAGCCACAAGGAAACGATGTAGGTTGAGGGAACAGCCTCTCCTTTTTTAAAGGAGGCAAATCTTAATGCGTGAGGAGTATGTTGAACAGAGAGCTACAAGAGAGAGGAAAGGTAAGTAGTTAGAGAGATATGCGAGGGTATCTGAGGATCCCAAAGCAGATGAGAAGGCCCATCCTCGGAAACTGTAAGAACGGGCATCAAGCCAGGAGGCCATGCCTGCAAGCCCCAAATCACTCTGTTTAGTGTCTGTGACAGCCAAGGCTTTGGACAATCACCTCCCGCCTCTGGCCCCAGGCTGGAAAACTTTCCTATAAACATAGATAACCATCACCATCTGATAGAGAACACTGGTCTAGAGAAAAACACAGTCTCCAACATGCCAACTGCCCTGGGCTAACACAGGGAAAACTGGCTTGTGAGGGGGGTGGACACAAAAATGGCCCGAACAGGACGCTTCCACACTGAAGTCTGCATATCCAGCCAGTTCCCATCTGCACTGTGTCCTCTCCAGCCCCGGCACAGGCCACGCTCCAAACACATTCCAGCCGGAGGAGGAGGACATCTGCGCATGTCTCCTGCCTGACCCTGCTGCCTCCTGAAGGGAACCTCAAGGCCAGGCTGCTGTCTGTCCACCCAAGGAGCATGCGGGTGAAACCAGATGTTTGAAAAAATAACCAAAGAGAGTGTGAGCATCTGCACAACAGAGCGGTTACAGCAATGCTCATTCCGGTTCCAGTGATCTGGAATGATCCCAACACACTGCCTTCACGTGGATTCCAATTCCTAGCGACCCTGCAGGACAGAGGAGAACGGTCCTGCATGTTTCCGAGACTGTAACTCTTTACGGGAGTAGACAGCCTCATCTTCCAGAGGAAGGGCTCGTGGTCTTGAACTACTGACCTTGTGGTTAGCAGCCAAACTCATAACCACCAGGGCTCCTTATTTGGAATTAAGGTAGGTCCAGAATAGCACACAACTATAATTCAAGGGGTTATGATGCAGTCCTTTTTTTTTTTTTTAAGAAAGGAACAAACAAACGTTATTTCCACCTGAACTGCTAAGCTGTGGCGTCAGCACAATGTGATCTTCCTGTCACCCCCTGGCATCCATGGTATCGCATGTACGCCTCGTCTCCAACCCTGACGGCAGGCAGCTGACTGTGACTCTCAGGAGTTACCCCATGTTCGGTTAAAAGCCAGGCACGCTGCAGCCATGTAAAGTGTGTGTACCCATGAAGCAGGTATGAGATGAAAGACTCCACAGATGGCTCAGAGAATGGGAGCCAGCCAGGCAATGAAAAGGAGAGTCAATCAACCACACCCAGGGACGCACGCAGCCATGGGCATATTGCATAGGTCCAGTGTGCACCTCCCGAACAAAAAGAGGGGAGCCTCTATAAGCAGTGTAGCCTCACCTGGACTTTAAACAATCAGCGTTGAATGAAGCCCGAGCTGCCTACCAACTGTTCACACTACCTGTGGATGCTGAGGTTGCCACTCCCCTGCACCTGAATTTGAAGAGGTGCACCCATGAATTAGGAAGGAACATGCGATTAAGCCAGACCCCCTATCTAGGAAGGGGACATTGACTGTGGCAATGCTGCTGTCGTGCCAATGAAGGAAAACTAGAACCTCATCTAAGAAACACTACTTACTTGCTTATCATCTCTTTTCAACTCAAAAAGAGGACACTAAATGAACGGTGGTAAGCAGAAAAATGCCTTCTCATCGCTGGAACCTGTGGCTACGGTGTTAGGTCCCATGATGAAAGGAGCTCTGGTGGAGCAGTGGGTAGGCTATTAACCACAAGGTCAGCAGTTCAAAGCACCAGCCGCTCTGTCGGAGAAAGATGAGGCTTTGTAGTCCCATAAAGAATTACAGTCTCATAGGGTCATGAGGAGCTGGTTAAATTCGCCGTGAACTTGGTTTTTCAGTCTCAGGATGAAAGGAGCAGTGGGCTATGTGTTGGGCCCATCAGTCATTCTGCAGGAGAAAGATGAGGTTATCTGCCCCTGTAAAGAGTTATACTTTCCGAAACCTTACGAATAGTTCTACCCTGTCATATGGGGTCACTGTGAGTCAGAATTGAATAGCGGGCAGGGGACTTTGGTCACCCGAGGAAGGAGGCTTAGCAGATGTGGTTGATGAAACGGAGATGGAGACCTTCAACTGGACTGTCCACGTGGGCCCAGCCTAGTTACATGGGCCATTAGAAGTAGAGGGCTCTCCCAGCAGTGGTCAGAGAGCAATGTGAGGATAGAAAATAAGATCAGAGCGAAGACTTTGCTGCCTTAAGAGGGAGGAAGGAACAATAAGCCAAGGAATGTAGGCAACCTTTAGAGCAGTGGTCCCAACCTCCCTAATGCCGCAACCCTTTAATACAGTTCCTTATGCTGTGGTGACCCCCAACCATAAAATTATTTTCGTTGCTACTTCATAACTATAATTTTGCTATTATTATGGATCTTCATGGAAATATCTGATACGCAGGATGTATTTTCATTGTAACAAATTGAACATAACTAAGCACAGTCATAGAACACAAAAACAATATGTAATTATATACGGTGAAATATTTCTTTCTAATGACAAATAAATGAAAGTTTGTTTTGAAGCGTGGTGTAGCATGGGTAACTTCACGCCGGGGACTCGTATGTGGGGGTATCTGCATGTGGGCGGACCCATCTGGAAACGGATCGAGGAGCGGTGTCTCGGTTCCTAAGACCATCGGAGATAGGTGTTTTCCAATGGGAAGACCCCCCACACACACCCCCAGAAGCCTCTCCCCGGGGACTTACATCCAGGCTCTGCAGGCAGTACCAGCAGAAGGTGTGCTTGCAGTTCTTGCACATCATCTGGGCACAGCCTTCGTTGCGTTCGATGTAAACCCGGCACACTGGGCACTGCTTGATAGGGGCATCTGTGCCCGTCCCAAAGAGGGCCCTAGAAACCAGATGCGGGAGAAATCGTTAGGGTGGGGGGTCGGGAGTGGTGGCTAATAGAAAAGCAAGAACCTCAAGGACGTTCACGACACAGTGCTGTGAGAAAAGTGGTCAGGACATAATTCATCAAAGTCCTCTAGAAGGTCGCAGAGCAGCCGTCGGGTGCTGTCATCAGCAACACTCTGAGCTGCTAATCACAAGGTCAGTGGTTTGAAAGAGACATGTGGCTGTTGACTCCCATAACACTTTAAGCTCTCGGAAACCCAAGAGGTCAGTTCTACTCTGTTCAGCAGGCCACAGTGAATGGAAGGCGACTGGATGGCCATGAGTTGGGAGTTGAGGAAGAGAGTCCAGAGTCCATGCTGTGAATGTCCTGGGAAGCTAAAGGGCAGGCCGGTCATCCATTCCTAGTGGTCCCAGCTTAACTTGCTTCCAAGGCAAAAAGGTAGGGTCACAGTAGGGGAGACATAGATCATTAAAGGTTCAGGTCACTCAAAACAAGAATCTCCATTTACCTTTGGTTTTTGAGGGAATTGGGTAACTTGTACTTTATGCAGCTGATTTAACTCATGATTTTGGCAAATTAACAATTCACATACAGAGCTTATACTGTCCAAAGAGGAAGGCCCGGGATAATTCAGCAAATCATCTGTTTATCACACTACTCGGAAGTGGAGAGAAAAACTGCTTTTGAGACATGTCTGATATTACTGAACAAACACATATATATATATTGTTCTACACTGATGTCTAGGCCAGCACAGACTCCCAGCCGGACCAAAGGAGGCAAGCCAGTTCCCTTCAGCGTCCTTTTTTTTTTAAATCGTTTTATTAGGGGCTCATACAACTCTTATCACAATCCATACATACATCAATTGTGTAAAGCACATTTGTACATTCATTGCCCTCATCATTCTCAAAACATTTCTTCTCCACTTAAGCCCCCGGCATTAGGTTTCAGCATCCCTTTTTTGACTCAGGGCAACCCCATGTGGATCGGAGTAGGGCTGCCTCCCTAAACTTTTCAGTGGCTGATTTGGGGGGAAGTCGATAGCCAAGCCTTTCTTCTGAGACACATCTGGGTGGACTTGGACCTCCAAGCTTGCAGTTGGCAACTGAGCCCATGAACTGTAATACCTTGACCATGCACTGAGTAGACTGCTCACAGCTTTCAAGGGGCACAGAAAATAGGAAGGGAAACATATTGGAGAGGGGGATATGGTAGGTTACAAGGAGCCCTGGTGGTGCAGCGGTTTTCCCTTGGGCTGCTAAGTGCAAGGTCGGCAGCGTGGAACTGCCAGTTGCTCTCCCGCGAGAGATGGAAGGACGCTCTAGTGCTGTAGAGAGTTCCAGTCTCGGAAACTCACAGGGGCAGTTCGAGCCTGTCCGATTGGGCCACTATGAGTTGGCCTTGACTCAAGGGCAAGAGCAAAGATGGGTTAGGGTAAGGAGAGGCGAGACAAGAGGTGAGCCCAGCACTGGGCTGTCCTTTAGCTACTGTTGATGAGTCCCACCACCCGGGCACAGAGACATCAAGTTCACACCCAGTTGCTGATACTGCCAATGACCTCGCACAGTGGTAAAACAACACTAATGACCCTAAACTCACAGCAACCCTATAGGGCAGGGGAGAACTGCTCCTGGGCATTTCCGAGACTATAACTCATTTACAGGAGCAGAAAGTCTCACCTTTCTCTTAGGGAGCAGCTGGTGGTTCCTAACGGCTGACTTTGCGGTTAGCAGCCCAATGCATGACCCCTCCACCACCAGGTCTGCTGATACAGTGGTAGGGAAGTTACTCTTTTCATCCCCTCCCACTCTTCATGTTTCGCAGATGGGAAAACAGACTCTAAGGGCTAAGTGATTTGCATAGGGTCATAGCTCAAGCCCCTCTCTTTGGGGCGGTGGTCTTGCCTCTCCTATCCCGACACCTGACTGCAGTGACAGTCACGTGTGGGGACACTGGTTTAAGCCTGACCTTGAGGCCACATGGCTTCAATGTGCTTAAGATCTTCTTCCCTCTTGGCTGGTTTGGTCTGAGGATCAGCAAGGCATCATAGCCGGGAACACCCATATTCCTCCAGGGAAGCTCTACACACGTTCAGCCTGTTGGGGGATTAGACCACCCAGGAGGCAACACGGGTATCTGTATTCGTGCTAAGGCAGAACAGCCAACGCTTCAGACAAAGCCAGGGCCCAGCACCAAGGTCTCTCACTCTGGGCCCTCCTGCTTCCGCAAAACCCTGCCTAGAAAGAGGTACAGGTCTAACTGGGCCTCCCCACAAATCTCAACCTTGATCCCCTCTTTCCAGAGCAGAATGTAGTCTGAGATACATTCTTTTCATTTGTCACCTAAGGATTTCAGGCTGTTCTATATGGGAGGGCTGTTGTTTCTGTTGTGATGGCTCCTCTAATACTCGCATGCTTGGCCATTTTGTCAGACCAGAAAATCATTTCTGCCACGTTCTGTCTGCAAGGGCGAAAACCAAGGCATCCCCATACAGATGGACATGAGGCCAAGGAAGCACATCGCTGCTGAGCAGCTGAGATGTCCTACTAAACACCGGTGTGTCCTGCATGGTGCCTCTCTACCTAAGTAAAATTGGA